GAGTGAAACTGAAAACCAAAGTACAGCTTGTGAGAGACGCCTGGGTGGCTCAGTCAGTTAAGCGTCTGCCTTGGGCTCAGGCCATGATCCCAGGGTCCTGGGATCGAGCCCTGCATCGGGCTCCCTGCTCACCGGGGAGTTTGCTTCTCCCTCTGCCTGCCACTACCCCTGCTTGTGCTCTTCTCTCTCTGACAAATAAATAAAAATAATAAAAAAACCCCACAAAGTACAGCTTAGGAAACTATTGCAGTTATTTCAAAGAGGTATGGAGAGCATGGTCAACGAAAATGGAAGGAGAACATTATTAGGGGAACTACAGAAGTTGGAATTGATCAGGTATAGGGGTGGAGTGGGGATTAAGGAAAAGAAGGTATGAAAAATGTTCCTGTGAGTAGTTGGTGATGACACACCAAAATTTCAAAATCCAGGTGTTATCATATAATTTTAAGCAGAGAAATTACTCTTATAGTGTAATCTAATTCTTGTTTTTCACCTGTCGTATAATAAATCCCTGATGGAATTAGGGATCCACCTGAGTCATACAACTCGTCTATTGTAAGGCAGGGACTTGAACCAAGGTCCAGGTTCTCCTGTCTATTCTTCAGATTTTGAAGTAAGAATCCCTTACTTTAACATGTTGATTTTCCTGTGAAACCTTAAAATTAGGCTGATGTTTTTATGTTCCCAGCATAGTTGGATTAAGTAAATTGGGTTAATACTTTTATTTCTTTCATAACTGTCTTCAGGATTTATGTTGTGAGGGACGCCTGAATATGTACCCTGAAAACAGTAATACATGAGAATCTTAACAATGCTTTCTGATTACCTTAGTGGTTTTCTAACATTTTCCAATTAAATCCTTCTAATTTAACTCTGCTGAGATCAGCTTGATATTATGGCCTCTAGGGATGTGACATAAGGAAATACATTCCAACTAAGAAAGTTTAAGTAAACTAGAAATCCGAGAAGCTAGAACTTAAACCAGGCTTTCTATTCCCAATCATAAATAGCTTCTAGTTGTAGGAAAAGATGTAATTTTTTTCCTTTAGCAGGATACAATTCGTAGGTGAACAAAAGCTTAGTGATCAATTATTCCATGAGTTGGCAATTTTTTTCTGGAAAGGATATACAGTAAATACTTTTGGCTTTGCCGGTGATACAGTTTGTTTCAAATGTTCAGTTCTATTGTATTGCAAAAACAATCATAGGCAATATGTAGAGGAATGGGTCCAACAAAACTTTCTTTACAAAAACTGGTTGTAAGGCTGGATTTGACCCATAGAATATAGTTTACTGATCTTCTCACCTCTAATCTTATTCCTGAGAAGAAAACTGTAGTCTCCCTAGAGATTATTAGACTTGTCCAAACTTCTTTTGGCTGGAGCCCAGAAACCTATTTTATTTTACTGCTTTTGATTCTAGTATCTCTTTCTAAAGAGCCACTTAATAATATCAGTCTAATTGAAGATTTGTCTTCCCCATCCTCAGCACTGTAAGACCAATTCTAGTTGGTCTTTCTGTGGTGCTCATGGAATTAGTTTAGGTAGTCAGTAATGTCTTAATTGTGTTGACAATAGTTTCTTGGTTATATTTTTCAATGGAGATTTGCAGACATCCGGTCCCTTGACTGTTGGTCTGCCTTTCTTCCAGATTACGTACTTTGTGGCACTCTGCAGTACTATATAACAAAGTTTTACTAAGCAAACTCCACAGCAATTTTATCGATTTAACTTTGCAGAATAGCAACTAAGACTCATAACAGATCACAGGAAATCCTAGAATTGTTCCTTGTATCTCCTTCAATCTCATGTTCCAAGGGAGCCATGATTAATTTTAAATTGATAATGGTAAATTGATACTTACCATAAGAAATAAACATTTATATAATTGTGCCAGTTAGTTTTCATCATTCTTTAAAAAAGATGCAACGTATTTACACAAAATAGCATAATTTAAGACAACCAAATATTTTCCAAGTGCTTTTGATTTGTAATTCAAGTTGATTCTGCTAGCAACCTTAGTCAAAGGCCAGCATTTTACTTCTGTGTCAGAGCCCTAAGATTTGATTTTAGAAAACCTATCTTTATTACATTTTCTGCTTCTAAAGGACTCTGTGTTTTATATTAAAGTAGGCCAGTTTTGTTCCTCCACGGTGCTTGGCGTTTAAAATAGAAGATTAAAAACAAGATAGGAAACTTTTCTGTTTAGAGTTATCCCCCTTCCAACTGTGTGTGTGAGTGTGTTTGTGTGTGTATGTTCCAAACTTCAAATATTAACTACTTGTTAGCATTCCAACCACATTGTTTTAATTTTAAATACAATTTGATGATATACATACTTCCAATTTAGCTTGATTTTTTTTCCCTCATAGAAGAGGAAGTGAAACTATTTGCACACCATTATGAAAACTCACCTTTAAATCCAAGAGGGAAGCCACAAAATGAGCCTTGAGGTCTACCATTTGTGTCTAAATTCTAGTTTTGCCATCTCTGCTATAATAACTGAGTTCTTGTATGAGCATACATATTCGAATCCCTGGTGGTTGCTAAAAGAGAATACAAATGCAGAATGAAACCTAAGATCAGGGGCGCCTGGGTGGCTCAATCATTAAGCGTCTGCCTTTGGCTCAGGTCATGATCTCAGGGTCCTGGGATGGAGCCCCACATCGAGCCCCGCATCGAGCCCCACATCGGGCTCCCTGCTCTGCGGGAAGCCTGCTTCTCCCTCCTCCACTCCCCCTGCTTGTGTTCCCTTGCTCACTGTCTCTCTGTGTCAAATAAATAAAATCGTTCAAAAAAAAAAAAAAAAGAAACCTAAGATCAATCAGGCAGTGGTAGTCTTCCCCATTTAAACAGGCTTAAAGTAAATACAAAGTTAAGGAGAAAATACAGAAATTATTTCCCAATGATGTTGTAAGAATAACCTAATATTACATTGGTATTCAGAGATGGAAGAGAAAACATATTGGGAACTTCAGAAAAATTGTTTAGAAACTATGCATTTTGATAATCAGGTGTTGAGAATTACTGCAAAGGAAAGGAAAAAAATGGATATTGTGGAAATTTTTGTAAACATTTATGAGAATATTTGGAATGATAAAATTAGGCTGAAGGAAAAGAAAAACAAAGGAAAAAGAGAAACTATAACTAAGGTAGACAGAAATAAATGAAAAATTTAATTTTATTTTTTTAAGATTTATTTATTTATTTGAGAGAGAGAGAGAAAGAGAGGGAGCATGAGTGTGAGTGGCAGAGGGAGAGGGAGAGAGAATCTCAAGGAGGCTCCACACCCAGTGGGGAACCCGATGCAGGGCTTGATCTCACGACCCTGAGAGCATGACCTAAACCAAATCCAAGAGTCGGAAGCTCAACCAACTGCACCACCCAGGCACCCCAACAATTTTATTAAACAAAACCAAGTTATGCTACATGTATTGTATTACATTAAAACGCAAAACAAAACAATTGTGCCTCTATTTTCACATCCTTGGTAAATTTCATCTCTTTGGAATCAAGAAAATACATGTTTAAAGAAACTGAAAAAGGTTGAATTTAATGGCAAAATGTTAATACCATTATAAGGTACAGTTGACTTTCATTATAGTTCGATAAAGTCTTAGTTTCTATCTCTATAAAATAATTATTTACACGGACAATTATAACCAGCTTTGGTGTACAGTTCCACTGATGACCATTGTCATTACTGAGATGCAAGACGCCAGGAGGAATATTTATTGTTATGCTGTATCTTCATTCTCATAAGAAGTAAGCTAGTTAAGGATTGATTTGCCCTAATTAGTACTCATGGTTCTGTTAAGTATTGAGTTCAAGAAAGGGGAGAAGTATATGTTTTCTACACAAAAATGGTAGCACTTTTCTGGAATATGGATTCAGTATTGATAGATTATATATATATTTTACTCAGTTCTTCAGCTTGAGAGTTCTCTTAAATATAAATTCAGGTTTTTATATTGTTACCAAAGGATTCTTTAAATATTGTTACAATCTACAGTTTTATATTAGAAGCGCTTATTTAAATACTCATAATTTGTTGCTTTGGGCCAAAGTCCATTGCAGCTTGCAGAGTAAAAAATGTTTCACCTCACACCTTAAGCATCTTAGGTATTTTAAGCAGAATGAGTTTTTGAATATTAAAAAAACTATTTTCCAAATGAATTTTACTTCAGATAAGTATATTTCTCATTCTAGTTTGGCTCTACTTTTGGTGTAATCAAGTAGAAAAAGTTAATTATTTGAAAAATAAAGTCTTTTTATAAAGCAGTAAGAAAATTGTCTTTCCTAGAGTTGTTCTTGAATTATTTGAATTATCTTAACAAAAAGCAGCATCATTTCAAAACAAAGTACAGAATAAGCGGTCATGTGTAAGATCTTATAACTTGAGAGGTCCTTGAGTATATATTCTTGGATCTAGAAAAGCATAGTGACATCTGTCTTTGATTATAGTTACAAGGATAAATTCAAATTTTAGAACTGTATTTAAAACATTTCAACATACACAATGATATTATGTTCTTGGAATATGGCACATGGTGGTAATTTTTAATATAATTATACATGCCTGGTTGTCTTTGAAATAAATTATTAAAAAGAAGACATTCATGGCAAAATCAGAATTTCTCATGGTTTAAGTCCTGTTTATCTTAAAAAATTCAAAATAAACTCTTTGAATAAACATTTCTGTTTGTTTCACAATTGTTTAAATTACTTTATTGAAACTTTGCTTTAATTATTAAAATGTTTACTTTTAACTCCTGACATAGTGCTCCTATATTGTCAAACATTAATGAGAACAAGAAGATATTTTCTTTTTTTCAGGTGTTTGCTAAGAAAAAATATTAAGAGAATACTAACAGAAAAAAAAAAAGAATTAGCTATGAATCTGTATTCATAGTAGTCCTGGGTTCCTTATCTCCAGGAATCAAAGTATTGTGTGCAGTTACAGTCATTTTACTTTTTGTGTCATTTTGCTCCAATTTGCAGATTGTTTTAAATTTTACCACAATGGACCTATACAAAAGCAGTTTGTGCTGGTATGACTACATTGAAGTGAGAGATGGGTACTGGAGGAAATCACCTCTCCTTGGTAAGAGACTCTTTACCTCCTCTGTGGTCATGCATATAGTTTGTCCTTGGAAGTAGATTCTTTCAAGAGTCATCTTAGACTTTAAAATGTATGTGGCCCACATCTTAATTTTTATTATACTCTTTTCAACCACAGCAAAATATGGACAGATAAATAGAGAGATTGATTTTAAACTAGCTTAAATTATGAGGAAATACTTGGATCTGAATGTAATGATTGAGAATAGCCTCCAAATATATTTTTAATTTGATAAATCATCGCTTTAATGAGAAAACCAGATAAATGATGTGGGTGCGTGTGTCGTGTTTTGTTTTGTCGGCTAAGAGAGTAGAATGTGAGCCACTAGGTCCATGTTTGGTAGCTGATTTCTTCTGCCACCCATGTTAGCTCTCACTGTGGATGTCACAGTTGTGCTTCTCAGAGAGTTTTTGTGGGTGAGAAGAGGCATTTGTACTTTGTGTCATAAATTGTAGCTCAGATTTGGTGCTCACAAAAGTCTGCTGCCAACGTTTAACTACAGACCACGCCATTAACTTGCATGAGGCACTTTACTGTTGCCCTCTGTTTTACTTAAAGGTGAGAGCTGTTGTGAGCATGTAAGCATCTACTTTAATATTGATTTTTTTTGAAATGGCAACTTTTCCTTTATTTTTAGAGGTAGCTTTCCTCAGTTGTGTTTATATGCCTTACAGTTCTTTTTATCTTAACATCCAAAACCCGCTGAATGTACACTGTTGTATTAAAAGTCTTACATCCAAGACATATAGAGATGTTTAAAAATAAGAAAAAAAATAAAATTGAACGAATGTGATAAGTTTCAGGTTGAAGAAAATATTGTCTTGAACACTGCATTTCTTAGCCTAGGTGAAGCAATCTGTAATATATGTGTGTGTGTTCCAAAGAAAACATTTCATTAAATTCATATTGAAGAACCAAATCTAAAGCTAAATAGTGGAGCACATTTCTTTTAGAACGCCAGCACTTTACATGCTTTGGCGTATAGTGGGCCAACAGACTGGTTCAGTCTGGTCATCGTTTTCATGTGGAAAATTTTCCCCATTACTTCCCCTGAGACCTGTCCCTTGAAGTGTACCTGTCAGACAGGCAGCATCAGGATCACTTGTTAGAGGGGTAGAAATCCAGGCTCCATTCCATACTTTCTGAATTAGAGACTGTATTTTAACAGACTCCCTGGCATTTCATATGCACACTGCAGTTTAAGAAACATTGCTCTCTTTTGCGTGCCCTTAATTTACTTTGCCTAATTTAGGAAGACAGTTCTTTACCTGTTGACTGTTAGTATGAATTTGTTTTAAGTCGACTACCATTTTTCATATACTGAAGCTACGTATGATAGCACTGCCAGGGGCACGCAGAAATGGATGGCAATGTATTATTGTTGGTAAAATTATTTCATGTGGATTGCCAGATTTAGCTATTTTCTCATATATGGAAATTTAAAGCGCAGTGGAGACACACAGTTAGCCAATATATATTTATGGGACGTTGACCGACTGCACTACAGATTATGACTTTGTACATGGGATGGAATGTATGCAGTACTGTAAGACCCCCAGAGCAGCATGTGAGTCTCCCTGGTGTGTCATAGTCAAACCCTACAGGACAAAGAACTCCACTTTGGGCTGAGACACATCCCTAACCAAGCTACTTCTCTGCAAGGACCGGTCTGACAATTGGAGCCAATTTCTCAGGATCACTTGTACTTTTTTCTGTTCTCTATGAAAGAATATTCCCTACCTTGATGTATCATGTGACCTTTTACAAATATGTCTTTAGCACTAGCTGTTTCTTAATTCTATAGACAATGATATTGATGTCAGTCTGTTAATCTGAGAATGGTATGTTCCAATATTTTATAAATAGATACGAAGACATTCCTTTATTTATTCACCTATGTTAAGTAAATACTAGGCGTACTTATAGCTCTAGTTACTCCAGATAGAGTATAGGAACCAAATTGGGTTTTATATATATAATTTGTGGCTAGTGTGGAAAGCAATTAGAATATAGAGTTGTATTTAGGAGTCTCTCTTTATTCTTTTATTTCTTTTAGGTAGATTCTGTGGGGACAAGTTGCCTGAAGTTCTTACCTCTACAGAGAGCAGAATGTGGATTGAGTTTCGTAGCAGCAGTAACTGGGTGGGAAAAGGCTTTGCAGCTGTCTATGAAGGCAAGTCCCATTCAGTTTTAGAGATTACTTCCCCTTAAGTCTCTTAGCAGAAAAGTCCTTTCTCTCAATTTCATTAGAATGATATTGTAACCACATTTAATTATGAAGTCTTCTAAATCTGTGTTATAATATTCACAAAAGTACTTGGTAAAGTTAAATTGCAAGAAGAGCCTCTTTCCTGGTACCAGTGACATAGTAACATATAAATGTAGGTAGGGATGTGGGGGGGCATGTGGAAATGGCACAAGAGCTCTTAAATTTCCATTGTTTCCATGATAGTATTAAGATGTCATGAAGAAATTATGATTTTTTCTTTGTACTAAATTTGTGTTTATTTGGTGCCTATACTGCTGAAATTCTCTGTTATAGGAAACTGCACAGAAAGTACTTGTGCACATTTCTGGAACATGCTTTGTCTAAGTGAGGGAGTCAGCATTCAAGGGAGAATTTACTAGCTGCTTTGTTCTATACTTCTCTGAAACAACAAACTGGCATTGTGTATCCTGGCTTTAAAAATCGCCCCCCCCCCCTTTTTTTTTTTTGCCAGGTTGTGGGCAGAAGAGACCCTTCTTGCGCCTGCCTCTGCTAGCACAAGAGCTTAGGTAATTTAGAAGACAGGAGATTTCTGCTTCCCTTAAACTTTTAAGTAAACGGAAGCATTTTGTTGTAGAGATTAGCTGTATGGCTGTCAAGGGGATTATTTGGATGGGGCCACAGATGTTGAGCACATGATGCTAGCTCACATTGCCAGAGGCCCAGAGAGTTCTGTGGAGCATCTCTCTTGATCAGCTATTTTACCTGAACTCAAAAGACTGTAAGAACCAGTTCAGGGAATCATATAGAATATGATAGAATATTCTACCACATAGAATACATTTACAAAATCTCAAACGGTTTTTAGAAGTTAGAAAAAATACTGTTTTTTGTAAAGATGTAAAGAAACCATGATAAAAAAAATCATATATTCCCGTGCTATTATCTAATGTTTATAGTTAACTGACTAGGTTTTTACCATCGAAATATTTACAGCAGTATAACCAGCCAACTTTGATTTTTTATAGCTGGTCTTTATGTACTCAGCTACAGGCACTGAGCTAAAATGGTATCTCAGAAGAAAATGAAAATGAAATGTCAGGTCTAGGTTTATTTATTTGCGTATTTTCACCCTCAGCGATCTGTGGAGGTGAGATACGTAAAAATGAAGGACAGATTCAGTCTCCTAATTATCCCGATGACTACAGACCGATGAAGGAATGTGTGTGGAAAATAACAGTGTCAGAAGACTACTTTGTTGGATTGACCTTTCAGGCCTTTGAGGTAAAGTCTTTCAGGCACCCTTCACGGAACATATCCTCCATAAATGACAGTGCCATTTAAGGGGATCCTCATTAAATAAGCAAAGAACCAGAGAATCAGCTTTTTAATCAGCAAAGAAGCAAAGGATTGCCTATAAAATGTAACATCAAGAGTGAAAGAGGTTTTTTTTTCTTCTTCTTTCCTCTTGTCGCAGACATTTTCAAGAAGATTAAAGTGAGTTTACATTATCTGTGCTATTTGAATTAGAATGTTTGAAGTACCGACAATAGTTTCTTTTGGAGAAACTCACAGGCTTGTTTCACAAGACTGCTTCAAGAGTCCATTAAATAATAGAACTTTTATTTCTCTTCTAAACTAAGAGGTTAAAAGGTAGACCATCATGTTGTTGTTGTTGTTGTTGTTGTTGTTGTTGTTATGGAGAAAATCCATTTTTCACCTTTTCACGATTATGCAGAAAACTGTTTATATCAGAAATAGAGATTTAAGTGTTTTTAGCTTTCGATTTCATCAAAAATATATATCAGGGAGGAGATCAGCATCAACATTACATTATTAGATGAAGGCACAATAAACCAAAGGTTAGTCAGAATTCTGGAGCAAAGTCTGGGTCCAAAACTACCAAGCCGGCTAATGAGTCATTTTAGTGGGGCTGGGGGAACTGAGTTAGGGATTGGAAGCCAAGAGATGGAGGACTTTGTCGTGAATTCCACAGCATGTTTAAATCGAAGAATCAGTCTAGAAATTGAGAGCCCACTGAGGAAATGGGAAGGAATGATGAGATGGTGGTAGGTAGGTTCATCTCCAAATGCCATAACTGGAGATTATTTCTTCATTGATTAGAAGGCTGATTCTCTGTCCAAGCAATCAGAAGGCAGTGCCAGGGTATATCATTCCTGAGTGCAATGCGTGTGCTGGTGTCTCGGTCCCCACAGCAGAAACATCAGGGGAATCCAGGCATTACCCATAAGCCCAGAGAATCTCTCACCTTCACGTGCAAGCTGTGTGATATACTTATCTCCACCCCTTTGCATGTGCCATTTAATTTCCCAGACATACAGCCTTTTATCATGAAAAAATTGTCTTCTCTTATATGATCATGATGTTGTGTTCTATGCTCCTGATCATTTTGCATTTTTGGAAACCTTGGTTCTTGAGATTATTTGATTCATGTTTGAATTTTGTTATTTTAGCGGATCAATAATATTGCAAACATTATTCAAATAGACCACCTTATTGCTAACAGTGAACTAAAACTGGATAGGATTCACCTACTATTTAGACCAAAATAACTGGTTCAGTGAAAAATTATCTACCTAATGACTACATTACTTGTATTTTGTGATGTTACCCAAATGATTAAGAGATGAACTGTCTTTCAATATATAATTCAATTTTTTATGAAATTCTCCTATTACATAAGTGATGTCAGAGAATGCATCTAAAACTAAATTCCATGCATCTAAAAACTGAGATACAATTCCTGAGATGCAGAAGGCTTAGTTGGTTTGCAGTTTTTTCTTTAATGCCAATATGTTACAGTGATATTCTTCAAAAATAGGATAGTGAAAGTCAGGTAGGAAAGATTTACATCTCAGGCACTTAGAACCATGCCTGACAGAGAGTGGTTGCTTAATAAATATTTGTTGATTGAGCAAGTGATTGAGATTTGGGATTGGGGAAAGGTCATGCCATGTTTGGCTGACAGTACATTTTAACTGTTATCTCTAGGTTCCTGTCTTTTCTTCATCTTGCTGTATTTCCTTATGTTTCTTCCTCCTTTGTTCATATACTGGACATATTTAAATGTCTGATAGGTCTCTCATCTTCAGATGACCAGAACCAAACCTTTGATTGTCTTGTCCTACTCACTAACTCACTCTTCTTCAGTCTTCCAGATTTCAGCATTTACTATTTCGGTATGTCACTATTTACTCAAGAACTAGCCCTGATTCCACTTTTTCTCTTAAACCCTGAGGCCAGTCAGTTAACATATTTCATTTGCTTTGTCTTCAACAATGCCCCATACATGGCCACTTTATCCCAACTTTCTGGCCACTACTCTGTTCCCACTGTTGCTCCTTCTCTTGGAACTTGGTGAGAATGTCACCTCTCTACTCTTGCCCTGCTATCCTGATCCACAGCAGCCAGAGGGATACTTTTACAATGTAAGTTAGATCATAACACGATGCTTAAATTCTTTTGGGGCGGGGGGAATACCTGCGTGGCTCAGTTGGTTAGGTGCCCAACTCTTGATTTTGGCTCAGGTCATGATCTCAGGGTTGTGAGATCGAGCCCCACATCAGGCTCTGTGCTCAGCAGGGAGTCTGCTTGAAATTCTCTCTATCCCTCTCTCTTTCTCCCTTTGCACCTCCCCCTACTTATGTGCTCTCTCTCTCTCTCAAATAAATAAATAAATCTTAAAAAAAATTCTTTCAGGGATTTTTTATCACACCTAAAATAAAGCCCAGACTCAGTGATCCTGGACCAAGGCAACCCACGCCTGGTCCCAAGCTCCTTCTCACACCCTCTGAGCTAATCTCTTTGGTCTTCTTTCTCTTCCTTGGAAATACCAAGTTTACTCGATCTTATAGCATTTGTCACTGATGCTCTTCTACCTCTAAATGTATGCTTTTATTCCTCTCATTTCATTTGGATCTCTGCTTCACCATTGCCTCCTTAAAAATCCTTGCCTGGTAACTCTATTTTAAATATATTCTTACCTACAATTGTCTATAAACCATTATTCTGTTTTAATTTATTGCACTTATGACTACTGGAATTTATGTTATGGATCTGTTAATTTACATGGTTGCTGTCTCACTAAAAATGATCACCACCAAAGGGTAGGGATCTTAACCTATCTTGTTGATCACCATATTTCCAACACCACTTGATGCATGATTAATACATGATGATGGGGGGGATGAAAGAATGGATGGATTATAGGTAAGGGAGTGTGAGAGTGCATGATGATTGGTGGGTAGACATTAATATATCCTTCCTTTATCAAAGATACATAAATTTCTATGCAAAAGGAAACAAGCCTAGATAGCTAAGAAAAGTTTAGATTATGTAGGACCTGATGTGCCCTATGGCTCAATTTAGATAGATCCTTGGCTCTAAGAAATTCAGACGTGACAAGGAATTTAGAGATGTTCTAATGTATCATCTAAATCTTCTAGATAAGGGAAATGAACTTATGCCATTAACCTAGTATCATATAAGCAAGCACTAAACCAGCATCAAAATCCAGGTATAATCAATATTCTTTATTCATAGATTCTGTATCTACAAACTTACATACTAACTAAAATTTATTTGTAACCTCCAAATCAATACTCATTGCTCTTTCTGGGTCATTCATGGACATGCACAGAACTGCAAAATATTTGAGTCATCTGACATTCACATCCCCAGCTATGATGTGAATGTGCCTTATGGAGAAAATGTATGTGTTAAATAAACATTGTTCAGGCATGCGTTATAATGCAGTTGGCTGCGAGTTGTATTAATGAATTGTCAACATATATTAAGTTGTCTTTAAACAGAAACACACATAAAACAAGGTTATGTATTGATTGGTTGACAAAAGATTTGTGATCAGAAGCTCACAAGAACCTAATTCTCTATTTTCCCAGAAGCAATGAATCGGTGTTTATTAATTCAGTGTTTTCAGCAACTTTATAGGACTTAACTACCATGAATATTGAGAATCAACTGTGTATGTATTTTAAATTTGTTCTAGTGGTCGTTAAGTGATTTTTTCATTTAGTTGATTTGTATCTGTTTATATCAATTTATTTTTTACATATTTTTAATCTTTAGCTTTTACATTTTATTTTGAATATGTATAATTAAAAAAAAAAGTCCTCACCACTTCTCAGCATTTTGTGGTTTTGTCTGACTTAAAAAAGTTTTTATTCATTGATATCAGTCTTTGCCTTTATTCAAAAACTGTTTCTATTTTTGTAACTGTTTTATTCTCTATGTTACACTCTCCCCTTTCAGATAAAAAGGGCCTTAAGACAAATTTGTCCATCATTTTTGTTGAACTCTACCGTAAAGAACTTAATAGTTATCTGTTATTTATACCTTTCTGTGAATTTATGTTGTGATCTTATCTCTTCTCATGTTACTTAGATTTTAATGTGAGTACAGAAAGAAAATCTGAACAAGAGTCTTTGTTAATGAATTTCAGGTATCTTTGAACAGGAAAGGATACTATTTGGAGGTCAATAGAGTTCTGATACATCTGTAATTATACCCTTTGGGAACCTTTTTCTTCTCTAGTAGTTACTGACGCATTGCTTCTTAAGGCCGATACTGCAGTGGATTTGTACATGGAGGTAGATCATGTCAGAAATCATTTTGGAGTTATTTGTAAAGAAACCTCTATATTACTATTTTGCTTGAGCACTTTCAGTCTGCAGAAATACAGAAGAGAAAAAGTTTGGGAGACTGGAAATGTTTATAGTAACAACTTCAAAGAAATGTCAATAAAGCAGAAAAGAAGTGAAATAAACCCAGAGCTTACTTATGTTTACATTGAAATCCCCACATACATTAATTTAAGTGGGATTAAGTTTGAGGTACTTGTCAGCCTTTCTACACACTCTGATTTGGTTATACTTCCTTTATGAAAATCACGAAAGTTTAATAGTCTTACCCATCATTACTGCAAGCTGCACAATTGTAAACTATGTACAAAAGTTCTTATCTTGATACTTCGAGGATTGCCTGACTAAAAGTAACCCTTTAATTCCTTTAAATATTTTATATTGTTTAAGTTAAGTAGTCTTTTAAATGACCTAGGAAGCCAAGACAAAGAGATCTTAATTAGTTAACATTTTTCTGTTTGCCATGTACTGTTTTTGGATGTTTGGCTAAGAATATATATACCAGGGGTGCCTGGGTGGCTCAGTCATTAAGTGTCTGCCTTTGGCTCAGGTCATGATCCCAGGGTCCTGGGATAGAGCCCTGCATTGGGCTCTCTGCTCGGC